AACATCTATCATGATAAAATTACTATGAGCATCAGCAACTGCCATCAAAATAATAGAATGGAAATGTTTGTAATTATAATATTGTGAACCTGCATGGGGTGGGCATTTTATTGCACAATGTTTACCGTCTACACTGCCAATACAGTTAGGCATTTTGCACACTTCATTAAACGATTCTGCACTTTCGTTCCATCTTTGTGTTGTAGGAACAGGCATACATAACGGCTGTAGAATTCTCCATACTGCTGAATTCATTTCTGTGATTATATAATGGATGGTGCTTATTCCAATACGAAAAGCGTAGCTTAGTGACGTAAATGTTTCTCCTGTGGCCAAATACCTAAGAAGAAAAAAGAAATATCATTCCATTGGGGTCATATTTTATTTGTATTGTCTTTTCAGATAAGGAGGCCAGATTTAAATGGCAGAATTTGAGAAGTAATTATATGCGAGAAAGAAGGAAGCTGAGTACAATACCATCTGGTTCCGCCGCAGATAGTTCAAAAATAACTTGGCCCTTCTTCACCTTGCTCTCATTTTTGGATGTTAGTCTCAGCCACAAGAAAACAACGGGAAACGTTCCCAACACAGAAAGCGGAAGTATGGAAGAAGAGTCGCAGCAAAATACTGAAGAAGAAAGTCATGAGGCTGGAGAAGAAGAGAGCCAGAATGTTTCTAAAATTAATGCTACTGAAAATTTTGAGTCACAAAATACGAAAGATACTTCCTCAGAGAATAGAAAACGGAAGAAACCTGGAGCATCTGGACAAGATTACATCGATAAGATGTACCTGAACATGCTGGAGAAGGTGACCACTAGACGTCAAGATGATGATGATCCAGATTTCATGTTTCTAAAGAGTCTACTTCCTAGTATTAAGAAACTGGGGCCCCTTGAAAATCTAGAGTTCAGAGGGGAGGTAATACAATTATTGAGACATAAATTAACATCTGCGTCCCCTGTTCAGTTTCCCTCCAATCCATCTTCTGTTCAGTCAAGATATGATCAATATTCTCGGTCATCATCATCACCTGGGGCCTATTCTGAGTTCTCCATCCAGACAGATCAGCAGGTAGTTAATCAGCCATTGTCTCAAACATGTGAATTTCAAAATTATCAGCTTTGAGCCATGCCTTTATACTTCTTTTCTCAATAAAGAGTAACAAATAAGCAAGTATTAACTTTATTCTCACCTGAGATAAACAGCTAATCGTTCCTGTGGTGATATAGAAGCTCTGTAGTTTGTATTTTGTTTCACTATGTAGTCATGCAACATATTTTCTAGCTCATAGAATCTTTCACTACTCATTCGAAAGTAGTTATAAAATTTCCTTGGATCATTTAATAAATCTGGAAACAGATGTTTGAAAGTACCAAATGCATCTCTCTTCATGTTAATAGGATGAATCCAAAACATTTTCTTTCGCCTTCTTTCCCTCCTCCTCTGCAATCTTCTAAGTATAATAAACGCAATCATTTCCACGTCCATCTGGCCAGCAGAAAGAATGATCACTGACTGACAAAGACGTATTCAGTATGAAACCTAATGACTGGACTGGACTGGCGTTGACGTGACTGGACTGGACTCATTCGGTGCGAAAGGACCCTTACGGTCATAGTCCTTATGTAACATCCTCTCTGACGAGAGGATGGGTCTGTCGTTACGAGCATGACCGAGCAACGGCCACTGTTTACAGTCATCGCTTAGCAACTGGTCTATACGCCACAATATATATAAATTACAAGACTCCCGTTGAATTCTCAACGAGTGTTACATTAATAATTATGCAAGTTTCTACTGAAGGCGTACCGATCTACGTCGTGTGGTAATGACGCAACTTACACTCGGTACATTCTGCCTGGTGAGAGAACAAACTCAATTCTCTAAGTGCTTAACAGGGAAGGTCTCATGCCCACGCAGCTGTGATGAACACACACCTGGCTATACATTGGACGCCGATGGACTGCAAGAACCGTACACGTCTAGAGGGTCCTGGCAGCGTCATAAACAACTTTTAATTTCAATAGTGACCAGCCACCTACCCCTCCCCGCCCTACACGGGTTTTCTTCGAAGAACACCTGTGCCCGAGACTATATGTGGCGTCACGGATATTGATGTGATATAGAGGTATTCGTCACCTCACTCACGACGTCACTGCTTGTCATTCAGACCCAGTAAAAGCAACAGACAGGCGGTCGCTCGGCCGGTATACTTCGCTTGCGGACTAAAGCCAGGGAGCTTTTTTTTTTTTTGCATTTAAATGTTTATAAAACACGGGTCGGTGCCCCGTGAATATGGCCATTCAGGGGGGCCCTCAAAAATAAAATTCCGTGCTTCTCGAAAAAGATTTCATTAAATTTCAATAATTTATGCCGACCATCTTCCTGAAACTGTGTGTGTGTGTGGTATCTTCAGGAAAATAAAGGCACGTCCTGTATACAAGAAAGTGTGTCTTTACACCGATTATCTGCGTGCTTTTAACTGCGCATAATAATATCATAAAGTAAGCATGAACCCCTTATCTATCAAGGTGACACCCAACTGTGGTGTTTAGGTCACACCTAATCAAGTGCCTGATACATGATACATCTTGCATATTCACCCAGGAAACAGGTGGAGTGCGAGTGACCTTCTCAACGACCTTTAGTTCACTACGTTAGTCAACAGGTGGCGCACGAGAACTTCCGGTGGGTCAGAGAGGCATGAAAGACAAATTGCCTGACATTTCCTGTACACTGTATTCACAGCAATAATTACACCGATTGTGCTGAAATTCTTTCTCTCTCTCTTAGACACACACGCAGAAACAAAAGTGGGATGTTATGCAATGTCACTTTAACACACCCACGGTTAAAATTAAAAATAAAAAGCGTTTCTGAACATTTCCAGTCAACGGGAAAGAAACTTCCAAAACTGTTAACGTTTCTAACAAAAAAAGTAAAGGAAAAAGGTAAAGCTATCCCTGTAACAGGCCGTGGAGGCCCATAGGGTTGTGAGAGGTCGAGGCTCCCACATTTTCTGTAGACAATCGGCTGACAGATGGCGGTAAGTTTGTCAGCCTTACGCACCGGCCGCCCGTTACCCGTACTAATTTCTGTTAGAGGCTGAGTCGAACCTAGGGCCATAGTGCGGCTGGAAGAATTAGGTCAATTGAAAAATCCAACGACCTCATCGGGAATCCAACTCGCGTCCTTCCTGTTTGTAGCATAGTGCCTCAACCAATTACCTACGCGCGCCAACTATAACATGTAGTACTATCATACTTGGTAACAAAACTCTTGGTATTATCTACCTTTTTAGTCCAATGTTGGTGTTTGATATAATTAGTTAAATTACTGTGTATCTAACTGAAGGTTTTTTTATTGCTAGTGGGGTGGGACTTAGTCCCTTGTACTGCAGCCACTTCTGGCCTTGAAGATTGGCAGGGGAAACCGAAGTACTCGGACAAAACCTGCCCCAGCGTCACTTTGTCCACCACAAATCCCACTCGACCAGACCCAGGATCGAACCCGGGCCGCCGCGGTGGGAAGCCAGCAACTAACCGCTTGAGCTATGGCGCGGTCCCTTAGCTGAAGGTTAAACTGAGGTCGAAATTAAGATCAAAATATATGTCTATTTCGCCGGTATACTGGTCGCTCTGGTCTGGTTCCTTCCCAGGCGGGAATGCTGTTACGAACTCTTGTGATGTTCACACGCATTATCTCACATTTAATTAGGTTAAGTCCGGTGTAGGGACACTATCGCTGAGGCGGTGTTATCGTTATATGTAGAATTCCCGTGTAGTCTTGTAGGTGGTCGTTTGGACTCTGTCGGGGCTGTTGTGTCTCGCTCTACCTGTCATGATAGCCGGTTTCCGTGCCGATATTAGAGCCTCTGCCTTCCTGAATACGAGCCATTGAGTGCTACTCACTCGCCCGCGACATCACTGCATTTCCTTTACACGATCCATCCATACAACAACGAACTCTACTTCCTGTTCAAACAAACTTCGTGTATTTTTTACTAATCCTGGTACACTAGAGTAGATAGGGGGTAATCACACAGACCTTACTCAATGGTAATGATGTCAGAGAGCTATTTTTAGAACACAGAACCTTACCCCGCTTCCCTTCTGCTCATAAATACAAGTACAGGGTTATTCAGAAGTCCGTGAAACATTTTGAAAATGTACAATAAATAAACTACGCAACGGATACCAAATACACTGAAATAGAGACATAGTTCACAGATGCTCCATGTGTTCACCTTTGCTGATATGGCAAACACCTATGCGATAATCCATTTCGTTCCACACCCGTGTCAGCATATCACGGATGACCAGAAGCACGGCAGCGGTGATACAGTTGCGAAAATCCCTAAGATTACCAGGCAACGGAGGCTTTTAAAAAAAATTGGTGAGATTCGTTTTCTATCGGCGTAAGGATTACCATGATCCGATGCACAGTTTATTTGTTGTGAATTTTTAAAATGAAGAAAGCAGTCGTCTGGGATGTGGTGCCGTGTAGATACTGTGTTAACCGACGTTTCGGAGAAACCTATCGCTTCCACGCCTGTTCACGCTGGTTCTAACCTCAAGATGGAGGCGATACGTTCCTCCGAAACGTCAGTTAACACAATATCTACACGGTGCCACTTCCCAGAAGACTGCTTTCTTCAGTCACCGCCGTGAAAACCTGAAATTTTACACAATTTTTAAAATGTTTCACGGACTTATGAATAGCCCTGTACAGCCTGTTCTGCTCCAAAACGGATAATTAGCAATGACCTGGGTTGCGAGGGAGGTGTAATTAACCAGAGGATTAAGTAAGTACTGGAGTGTAATACATCCACGAGCATCAGTTTTCGGGAAACTGGGATAAATTTCAGTTTAAATGAGGATTTTTTTTATTGCTAGTGGGGTGGGACTAAGTCCCTTGTACTGCGGCCACTTCTGGCCTATTGTACCAGCCCCAGATGATTGGTGAGGGTGATTGTGGAGCAATGGCTGGAATGAAGATTGGTATGGGAAACCGAAGTACTCGGAGAAAACCTGCCCCAGCGCCACTATGTCCACCACAAATCCCACTTGACCAGACCCGGGATCTAACCCGGGCCGCCGCGTTAGGAAGCCAGCGACTAACCGCCTGAGCTATGGCGCGGCCTTAAATGAGACTTAGAAAAAACACGTTCTGAAATCTCAACACTTGCAAGTTAAACTTACGGAAGTATGTAGGGATAATGAAACACGATAACGTGAATCAGGAAAAGTGTATTGTAACGGATTCCATGAACGCGTTGCCAGGCAACAGCTCTGTAAACACGGTCCAACACGCCACAATAGATGAGACTGTGTTTTCTATGTCATCCGCGCCATGCCCAGTGCTGCTAACGGACAAATCAACGCGCTGCAAACGTGAATCAGTTCAATTCATTCTCCATCTTCACCCCATCTCCCAACTTCTGATGACTTATTTTTATATCTTTCCACTGAACCACGTCTACCAACTGATCAAAATGCAACTTCCCAGCAAATGTTTTGACAATTCAAGCTATATACTTTAGTCGTTAACAAGGTCATATAAAAAACGATAACTTTATTTATTAGTATAAATAAAATTCAACATGAAAAGAGTTAACCTCGGCAGCAATGCCAACTTTGCATTTGCATGCGGCGCCACTGAACTATCAATCTGTTGTTAAGGTCATTTTCATTAAGGAGGCAATGGATTGTCTATTGCGAGTTAGCAAACTTAGACCAATTGTTTATGTACGATAAAAATCATTCCTCAGAAGAGCGCTATGTCCAGGGACGTAACTCTGTGTAATATGGCAGAACGCTTCTACGGAACGTATTGCCTCCATCTTCAGGGTAGACCAGCAAGTAAAAAAAAAAGTAACCAATCAGAAGGCTGCCGCTTGCCTCTTCCTGGTTATTTGATTGACTTGCTCTTCGACCCTATAGGAGGTGGCAGAATGTCTCCTCGAAACGTCGGTGAACGTCTACCGAACTAAATGTGGCCACATCCCAGAAGACAGAACACTTCATTGTCACCGCTGTAAGAACCTCAAATCCAACACTGTTAATTTTCAGGATTATTCTAAATTATTGTTGGGTTTCCGTTTATATGCCATGGAAACCCCGACAATAATTTAGAATCGGCCTGTACTTCTACCCCCAACAATGTTAATCTAT